CCAAAAGTGGAGTAGGTCAAGACTGACCGAACCACTCTAAATCTCTGGTTTGTGTTTATTTTGAGCACTTTATCATTACTGCAAACCTCCTACATAGTTACTGCTCTCTGCGCCTTTACAAACAAGTTTCTAAGTGCTGATCTTTTCGAATCTGCATTCAAACGTAAATCGGTGTTTTCATACATTACAGTTTAAGTTTACGTTTTGATTCTGCAAAACTGTCTTCTGCGCTTTTACGAACGAAGTTTCTAAGTTCAGATCCCTTTAAAACTGTGTTTTAGACGTAAACTACTTTTAAACGTAAAACTACGTTTAGACGTAAAACTGCGTTTAGACGCAAAACTACGTTTAGACATAAAACTGCGTTTAGACGCAAACTGCGTTTAGACGTAAAACTACGTTTAGACGTAAAACTGCGTTTAGACACAAACTGCGTTTAGACGTAAAACTATGTTTAGACGTAAAAATGTGTTTAGACGTAAAACTGCGTTTAGACGCAAACTGCACTGCGCTTAGACGCAATCTGATCTTAGACGCAAACTGCGCTTAGATGCAATCTGCATTTAGACACAAACTGCATTTAGACGCAAACTGCGTAAACTACGCTTAGACGCAAACTGTGTTTAGACATAAACTGCACTTAATCATAAGTATTCTTAGAATCGGCTTTTGCATCAAAATAGTTTTTATCAAACGAACGCAGCTTTCGTTTTTAATCGCTGAAAGATTTCCGCTGCACTAATTCACCCCCCCCCCTCTTAGTGCTCTTGATCCTAACACAAACATGGACAATAGCACAAGTATCATACCACCAACCAGAAACCTTACCAAATATGACATTCACTTCAAGACTTTCAATTTACTCACCATAATGATTGTTATTTTACTCATTATAGCCATTATATGACATTCACTTCAAATATGGTCATGTTGCTCGTCATAGCGATTATATTATCATCTCCCTCAATGGAGGTGACTTTTAGTTTCTTTCTTTTCTTAAATCTGTAATACCTAGCAAAATAACTAGATTTTTCACAAACAAAACAACCTCCACTGTTTAGCTTCTTAAATTTTCCTTGATCCCTTTGGGAGGCAAAATGATTCTCCTTATTTTACTTATCTTTATTGGAATTCTTAGGTTGATTCACAGTATTTGCTTTTATATTGTCAAAAGAGTTCTCACTCTTATCTTTCATCCTCAATTCGAAAGATGTTTTTGAATTTGCTCCAAAGTGATATCCTTGGAATTATGCAAAATCTTCTTCTTATACCCTTTTCAATATAAAGGCAACTTGGCTATTATAGCCTCTACTTGAAAATGTTCAAGAAGTTTAATTTTTTTAGCCTTCAATTGATTAACAATGACCTGGAACTCATGCACTTGTGCTTAGATTGACTTGTGATCCATAAACTTATAATCAAAATATTTAAAAATTAAAAATTTCTTTATATCTTCCTCCTCGTCATGATTCTTGAATTCCAAAGTATTCCAAATTGCTTTTGTAGATGGTTCCACTATATTAAGATCATAAAGCCAGTCCAAAAGATTGAGAATGTATCCTTTACACATAACTTCATCTTCATTTCTCTTCTTTTGTTCAGTCTTGACTTCATCGTTATTATTGTTGGTTGGATCAGGAATTTGTTGAAGATTTAGATCAAGCACATAAAAGATCTTTAAAGCAACCAACATGAACTTCATCTTGTCTTGCCAACGGGTAAAATTCGTTCCATTAAAATGATCCAAATGAATAAAATCTTGATTCAATAATTTGATGGTACAATAATACTATAGGAAATATATTTAAGCTTCAAACTTATATAAACACTTTCCTAAAATGATATTTGCACCATCTTTTTAACAAATAGTTTTAATAGATATAATAAGCCTTTAGAAAATATGTATTGAATAAAAAATAAAGAATCTTCAAAATAGAGAATGTCTAATTCAACCACTTAAAGATTTATCAAGAAAGAAAAAGAATCTAAAAGAGATGTTCATAATTTATTCTCAAATACCTATTTACGAAGTTATAACTCTTTTGAAAAAAAAAACTTTCTTTTTTAATTTAAACAATTTATAACAATACCTACCCATCCCATTGCCATGTCGAGTGTGATCACAACCCCTCGGTTGGACACCGTAGCAAGCAAGCTATGCCACCATGGATAGCAAGCCTCCCATGGCATATCACTGACATCGACAAGACCGTCACCTATAGAAGGGTGGCACCCTTGCCGACAATCGAACATAGAATTATTGTATTCGATTGTTAATACAAATATGCAAACGATGTTGCCTCTAAGGCTGAGGCGTGACATGGATCATATGGTGCATGCCTAGAAGAGAAAAAACAATATGGTATATTAAAAATAGATCTAATATACTATAAGATTTAATTTTTTTTAACGATTTATCATAACTTAAATTTTAATGATATTATTCTATATAAATTAAAAAAATAATAACTCTAATATAAAATAACTTATTATAAGGATCAAAATCTTAAATATTATAAGTCTAAGAAAGATGGAACATATCTTTTAGGTACGATAATCAAAAGAATGTCTCTAGTATCATAAAACAGCTTTGCATAGGAAGTCAAGTCAATGCATAAACAATAAGAGTATAGAAGAAATAATTAAGAGAGTCCTCCCATCAAGATAATCTTCTAAAATATCATAACATAAATATATTTTATTTTTATTGATAAAAAATTTTAATCAAAATCTAATTAGTATATTTTGATAAAAATTAAATAGAATCACATAATATAATAAATTTAATTAAAATATACTTAGATATATGATAGTGAATCTATCGTCAATTGACACGTGAGATCTAAGTCACCTTTCTATATTTGTGTCTACGTAGATGAAGATTAAAAACAAGAAAATATAAGGTTCCTTTTCATTCATTATGATAATAAAGGTAATTGTAAACTTTTCCTCTTTGACAATAATGAATCGTAAATATCATTATTATCATTTAAGGTATAAAAATATATTCCAAACATGGGGAGACTCTTTTTTTTTTAAGACTCGAACTTGTATTTGGGGATATCGATTTACTAACTTGAGCATCAAAGGGATTGAGTTAGGAAATATCTTTCGATCTCGATTTTCGTATAGATATTACCCTAAGAGCTCTACGTTTCTATCTTGAAAACACCATAGACAACCCTACGCATATGGGTACGGGTTCGAACTATGTCCGGTTGCCAAGACGTTAATGATATTTTTTCCTAATAATATATGTACTAATATGAAAACTCTTATAATGCTTATACATTTTATAATCAAGACTAGTTCTTTTTGAAATATAGCTAATACATTTGGATGAGAATTTCATATATACTGCAAGCTTTTATCATTGTTTGAATATCAATTAAAATTACATATTTTTATGATTAGCTAATATTGATAATATGTGAAATATTTATCCATATATGATAATTTATAAAGGCATATACGTAATTTCAAAACTTCAGAAGGTTGCCTACGTAAAAACGCTGGCAAAAATTTAATCTCAATATAATAAGTGGCGACAGGGTGAATTATGTAAGTCCAAAAAATTAAAGCACCCCCAAATTTCGGTTAAGCAATTGGGCGTCGCGTGTCCACGTCTTCCGCGTCGCTTTTCCTTCGCCCCTTTCCTAGGGTTTCCCGACTCGTGTTGCTCCGCGGCCGCCCAACTCCGTCGCCCTCCGATCGGCTTCGGGGACCTCTTCCGCTGCCGACCCTTTCGACCTACCCGCGTAAGTGATCTCAAAGGTTCGTCCTTTCCTCTCTCGATTTCACTGTCGCCGCCGCTTTTGCAGGGGGCAAAGTATGTTTGCTTTTGATCGATTAGTGCTCCGGATCAGGGTTTTTCTTGTTCAGCCAAGTGGTGGTTCTTGAATTTATACAATTCGAGGAATTTCCAACAGTTTAAGGACTGCTGTATTGTTGGGTTCGGTTTGGCGGATTTGGAACTGCAGATTTTTTTTTTTTTTGAGTTCGCAGTTTTTGTCACTTAAACTCGGTTTTTGGGTTGTTGATCAATGGATTTGTGATTGAGAGTAATTCTGGATGATTTATTGGCATATAGTGAAAATTTTCATGTTATGCTTTGTGATCGAATCTTATCTTTGTCTGGTCCTTTGTCGCGAGCATGTAAGAGGTTCCTTTTTCTCGTTGATTATTCAGATCTGCTGATATAGTGTTCGTTATTAATTGCATTGAATATATCTTCACCTTGTTGGTGTAATTGGTGTTAGGTGATGCTAAGTGATTCTTTCTCTGCCTTGGTGCTTAATTTTGGATATCAATAATGTAATCGCCGGAGAATTTTCTCTTCTTAAAAAAAACAAAAAAGAACATTACTGTAATGAATGTTTTACTGTATTTGGATTATCCATTTCTATGTTTGTGTAATATGATTAAGGAAATAATTAAAATCAGTTTCCTTGGAATTTAATCAATTATCTAAATAATTAAATAATCCAAAAATGATTAATTAATTGATTTCCTATTAGATATTTTAATTTTAGGAAATAAGGATATAAAAATAAAAGAATTTAAATTAAATAAGAAAAATTAAATTATTTCTTGCATTTGGAGAAGGGCTCACCTTCTTCTATTTAAAGGTGTTCCTTTCCCTCATTCCTCAAATCTAGTAGCTAGAGGAACATAGAGTGGAGTCCAGCAGAGGAGCGGTTGTTCTTTGTCTTTCATGAAAAATTAAAATTTTATTTTAATTTTTATATTTTTTATATGTTTAGATCAAATCCATGTTGTATTTAGTTGTAGATTTTATTTTATTTCGGATTTTGAAATTATCTTAGCATGATGCATGAATTATTATGCCATTAATTTAGTTAAACATGAAATCATATTGGATTAATAAATTTAATGGATTTTATGAAATTTTGCCATTATTCTTTGAGTTGATTAATTAGTTTGACGTACTAATTTATTTGATCAATAAATTTCATTGAATACTTTCTTTTGTATTCCAAATCAAATTAAATTAATTATTTGGTAACGTGTTGAATATTAAAATCTACTGATTAATAGGTTTATTCTTGTGTTTATTTAATTTAAATTCTTATAATTCATGTTTAAATTAAATAGGACTACCTATTACATGTGTTAATTAATTTAATATTATATAAAATCGGAATTGAGGGTTTGATTTGGTTGGGATTGGGTCTAACTTGAGTCAAACCATAGATTGGACCTAGTCAAACCAGCTCGTGTTCATACATAGGGTTTTAGTCTGGGTGCATATCGGCCTACCCCAAGCTGCCAAGCGTGACCTATCTCATGTGGCCAGGTGCGACTCAACCTGTGTGGTCAGGTGCGGTCCAGTCAAAGAGGCTAGGCACGACCTAGCCCACTCGTGGCCAGGCCCGACCCAACCCGAGTAGCTAGACATGACCTACCCCAAGTAGTCATGTGCAATCCAGACTACGTGGTCAAGCACCACATACATCGAGTGACCAAGCATCGCCTAGCCTGTGCGGCTAGACATTGCCTAGCTCACATGGATCGGTGCTGCAGGTCAGTCTACCACCCATGGAACAAGCATGTGCCGATTACATGATTGATTCAAGTGACCCAATTCATATTCAGCCGAATGTACCTTTGCACTATAACCCCTTTTAGCCCAAGTTTGCACTTGGTCCATGGCGTCTTGTGGCTCGATCTGAACCTTGTAATTGACTAAACTACATTTTGATCGGTTCAAGGTGATTCTAAACCTATCCTTTTGGTTTTTAGCCCAAATTGGGTCTACTTAAGTCCAATTAGATTGGTTTAGGATGATTCAAGACTAGTTTTAGGTGAATTTGATGTCGGTTCAATCGGACTCTAGCTAAAAACTTATTTGTTTCAAGTCAATTGGACCATTCCAGTTAGGGTTCAAGTTGAGCTAGGGTTATTGAGAGATTAATATCTTATGATTTTATGAATTTAAAAGATTTGTTCGAAGTTGTGATTTGAAAATGATTAGGTGGTATATATGGTTATGGTTATGCTGAGTGGTCTACATTGGAAGTGCATCATGTGAAAGAAGCTACAAATGAACTGAGTCTAGCATGTCATACACCAACCATGGTCTCTCATGGCATTTTATTGTATGGTTTTTTTGAATGCATGCGTAAATGAATGAATGAATATAAATGAATTGATCGTGACATATGATGATAGTTGAGGACTTTATTTCTCTACCTAGGGCAAGTAGGCTAGGGCTAGTAGGACGATTCCCTTCACGGAGTAACGGGCCTTCAAACATGATGAATACATGGTTCCTTCATCCGTTGTTGGGAGGAACATGTCCCTACTTGGGTGGGGTGAGGGACACCGCTCTATTCATTGTTGGAAGTGCAATATGGGTTTCCTTCATCTAGTATTGGGAGAATATAGAACTGATCCCTATGGCTTTCCATCCATTGTTGGGAGAGTGCACCATGGGGTGTCCGATGTACGTCTTGTTACTTGATAATTATATATGTTATCGAGTTGTGTTGCATAATAGACATTTCCGGTATACATTATTTGCATCTTACTTCAAAATTGTGACTTTTTGACATTCTCTTTTCTATGAGGGTACTTTGTGATGTTGAGAGAGATTTAGGCAAGCATGCCATGTAGATTTTGTTGATAGCATTGTAGCTTACGGTTTTGCTTGAGCAACCATCTTATTTTTTACGAATGAGGTTTATCTTATGTTGACATGGTAGGTTTGATGGGTTTGTGTTGTGATCCATTTGTCTTTGGTGAACCCTATCCTAGTAATCTTAGTTTTTATGGAGCAATACAAGATCCACAAAGCTGTGTGTATTATAGGCTAGAGATTGACATTAATGTAATTCTGCAATTTAAGTCTTAATTTCTGCAATGACTTAGTGAAAGGATTATTTGCCTAGATCATCATCTTTGGATTTGCCCCTCATCATGATGTTCTGTTACAAAGGATTTTAGATGATATGATTTTTCAATGAGGGACAACCTCTTTTGTGGTTTGTTTGATACAAAGTAATATCTAAAAATTTATTTGACGGACTGTTCTCTAATGTTGGTGTAGAGAAACGATCTCTGTTCACTTTCTAAAAGCTCAGTTCTTTTCTGCTCAATTTTAGAGTAGCAATGGAAGTCACCCAGATTCTGTTGAATGCACAATCGGTGGATGGTACAGTCCGAAAACATGCAGAAGAAAGTCTGAAACAGTTTCAGGAGCAAAACTTCCCTACATTTTTGCTATCTCTTTCTAGTGAGCTAGCAAACAATGATAAGCCTGTTGACAGCCGTAAGTTAGCCGGTTTGATCCTCAAAAATGCTCTTGATGCGAAGGAGCAGCATAGGAAAAATGAGCTTGTTCAAAGATGGTTGTCTTTAGATGTGGCTGTCAAAGCCCAGGTCAAAGCTTGCTTGCTTCAGACCCTTTCTTCTCCTGTTCCTGATGCTAGATCTACTGCATCCCAAGTCATTGCTAAGATTGCTGGAATTGAACTACCACAGAAACAGTGGCCTGAACTGATAGGCTCTCTATTATCGAACATACACCAGCTTCAGCCTCATGTGAAGCAGGCCACACTTGAAACTCTTGGCTACATATGTGAGGAAGTTTCTCCACAAGTTGTTGATCAAGACCAGGTCAACAAGATACTCACTGCTGTTGTTCAGGGTATGAATGCTTCTGAGGGGAGTACAGATGTCAGGCTAGCTGCTACTCGAGCATTGTATAATGCTTTGGGATTTGCACAGGCAAATTTCTCCAATGACATGGAGAGAGATTATATAATGCGAGTGGTTTGTGAAGCTACCTTGTGCCCGGAGTTGAAGATACGGCAGGCTGCATTTGAGTGTTTGGTAGCCATCTCGTCTACCTACTATGACAAGCTTGCATCGTACATGCAGGACATATTTAGTATTACAGCAAAAGCTGTGAGAGAAGATGAGGAGCCTGTTGCTCTTCAAGCTATAGAGTTCTGGAGTTCAATTTGTGATGAGGAAATCGACATTTTGGATGAATATGGTGGTGACTTTACTGCTGATTCTGACATCCCTTGCTATTATTTCATCAAGCAAGCACTGCCTGCTTTAATTCCTATGCTATTGGAGACTCTTCTCAAGCAGGAAGAGGATCAAGATCAGGATGAAGGGGCTTGGAACCTTGCAATGGCTGGAGGAACATGCTTGGGTTTGGTTGCACGCACAGTTGGAGATGACATAGTGCCTCTTGTAATGCCTTTCATTGAAGAGAACATAAACAAACCAGATTGGAGGCAGAGAGAGGCAGCGACATATGCATTTGGTTCAATTTTGGAGGGTCCATCGCCTGAAAAACTCATTCCTCTAGTCAATGTTGCCCTAAACTTTATGCTCAGTGCCTTGATGAAAGATCCAAATAACCATGTCAAGGACACTACGGCATGGACACTAGGGAGAATATTTGAGTTTCTTCATGGGTCAACCGTAGAAACACCTATCATAACACATGAGAACTGCCAGCTGATCCTGACAGTCCTCCTTCAGAGCATGAAAGATGTTCCTAATGTTGCTGAAAAAGCATGTGGTGCTCTCTACTTTCTTGCTCAAGGTTATGAAGATGTTAGTTCAGGATCGCCGATGTCCCCTTTGTTCCAAGAGCTTATCCAAGCTCTCCTCAATGTTACACACAGGGAAGATGCTAGAGAATCCCGCTTGAGGACAGCAGCTTATGAGACATTGAATGAAGTTGTTAGAACTTCAACTGATGAGACAGCACCAATAGTAACACAGTTGCTTCCAGTCATCATGATGGAGCTTCATCAGACTCTTGAGGCACAGAAGCTGTCATCAGATGAGAGAGAGAAGCAGAATGAACTGCAGGGCCTCCTCTGTGGATGCTTGCAGGTTATCATCCAGAAGTTGGGAGCATCCGAGGCAACGAAGTATGCATTTATGCAGTATGCTGACCAGATAATGGAACCCTTTCTCAGGGTTTTTGCTAGCCGAAATGCTACAGTGCATGAAGAGGCTATGCTTGCAGTTGGTGCTCTAGCATATGCCGTCGGGGGAAATTTCATAAAATACATGCAAGGTTTCTATCCATATTTAGAAATGGGTCTTCAGAACTTTCAGGAGTATCAAGTCTGTGCTATCACTGTTGGTGTGGTTGGAGATTTATGCAGGGCATTGGAGGACAAGATACTGCCTTACTGTGATGGAATCATGACACAACTCCTGAAGGATCTATCTAGTAATCAGTTGCATAGATCTGTTAAGCCACCAATATTTTCATGCCTTGGTGATATTGCTTTGGCAACAGGGGAAAATTTTGAGAAATACTTGATCTATGCCATGCCTATGCTCCAGAGTGCAGCAGAACTATCTGCACATGCTGTTGCAACTGATGATGAAATGCTGGAATACACCAATCAACTTAGAAATGGTATTTTGGAGGCATACTCTGGGATATTGCAAGGATTTAAAAATAGTTCAAAGACCCAGCTCCTGATGCGTTATGCACCTCACATCCTTCAATTCCTTGATACATTGTACAATGAAAAGGACATGTATGTAGTTATCTATTCCTAATTCAGGTTAGAGTTTGCATGGTTGGTGCTTTTCTTGCCGGCTGACTTGTTACTTTCTTCTTTGTTTTTCATAGGGATGATGCAGTGATGAAGACTGCAGTGGGCGTCCTGGGTGATTTAGCTGATACGCTGGGTAGCCATGCTGGTACCTTAATAAATCAGTCTGTTGCAAGCAAAGAATTTTTGGAAGAATGCTTATCATCAGATGATCAATTGATAAAAGAATCTGCTGATTGGGCTAAGTTGGCCATTAGTCGGGCAATCTCTGGTTAATGGTAAATTTTGGTGCTTCACAAGTCTTTATATGCATAGCAGTCATGTCAAGTCTGGTCTGGGTTGCATAAACGTGTTTTGTCATTACCAGTTTGCACAAAGCATTTCTTTCTGGGCAAGTGTCGCATGGGCTGTCGGTTAGTTTATGAATGAGCACCATGGATTGGGTTCTGCTCATTTCAGTGGGGACTTGGGTAGAGATGACCCATCTGCCAGTTCAAATTCTTGCTTGCAGAAAATCTAAAGGGCGCTGCATCTTTGTCCTTGGTAGTACATTCATGATGTGCATCACATTATGTCAATGCCATTCTTCTGCAGCAGGCAAGCAAAATTATGATGTCTGGAGTGTATGATGCCTGGAAGCAAAAGTGGTTGTAGTCTGAGAATCATGTTTCATGTTATTTATTGCCACCAAGTCTGCCCGGCACCTTTCCCTTTTTGTTTTTTGGGTTTTGATTTTTTTTCTTTTGGGGATTTTGGCATAGATCTTGCATTTTTGTGGAGTTTCACTGCATTTCATCATCCTCCTTTGAAGCCATTGTAGAGGTTACAGTATGTGGCCTTCATTTATGCACCCCAACATGGAATTCTTTTATATTCTGTCAGTAAGTTTATCAGATATACAGATGTCGTAGCATTCATTTGCAATGCCACTGAATTTTTTTGGATAATGGTCACAGTGGTCACACCTTCAAGTGTATGCTCTTTTCAGTATTCTTTATAACCATACAAAAATTGCTCGTTAAGTGAATGGTATCTGTGGTTTTTAACTTTTTTGCAAGTCACTTAGTTGCTGGCGCTTTCTGCTGTAAGCAGGCATTAAAGCTTCTTTTGCTTGATGATCTATGGAGAAGGTCATATTGAACATTAGAATAACCAATATTAGAGTTCAATTCTGTGTGAATGTTTTGTGGTTTAGTTTCTATGATCTTATTGTGCATTTCTCCCAGCTCAAGGTTCAATGGATCTGTAGATCTAATAATTCCTGCAAGAAAAAACTGGACAGGAAGTTGGAGACCTTGAAAGAAATCATCCAGAAAATGCAGTTTACTTTCATTTTACAGTTTGTTAATATTTTTCTGGTTCCAAGTCCAAACTAGAGTAAGATCTGCAGTCACACTAGGAGTTCCTTGATAAGATTCCATAAGCTATCTATCTATTATTGTTGTAGGAACTTGTGAAAAGTATTTTATATTTTATAAATCTAAGTGTTGGATGATTAAAATGTAATATGTATAAAACCTTTTCTTTTATCGAATATTCAGGTAAATGTGTTAATGTGCTGCAAAAACTTGTGATACAAATAATTACCTGAAGAAATCAGCTCTCAATTTGCATCAAGTTGATCTTCAAACTATGAAAACTGATACACAACAATAGGATGACAAACTCCTCTTTCTCTACAAAACTCAACTTTCTACTTATCCAAAGATACAAGTGGGAAGTACAAGAAACAGTAACAAGCCAAGGCAAACAAAGGAACCATCGTTCGCTGCTCCTTTGCCTGCCTGTCTGCCAGCCTATCTATATATTGCGATACTCCATGCGGCTCTTTGTGTGGTTAATGAACAGAAACTGAAAACAAAAGCATTGAACAACATTTCAGGTAGAGGTATGCCAACTGAGCTTCTCTGAGGTCTCAAGCATCTCTCAGTACTCATCCAAATAACTATAAACCATCTCATCTTTCTTCGATTTGCGCCTACTGAGCAGGGACTTGAGGAACTTCTTGCCTTTGCTCGGGTTCTGCTCCCCATCCTTGTCGTCGTTTCTCTCGGCATGCAAGCGCATCGACGCCGATTTCTGAGTTGCCGAAGAATACTGCACACAAGAAAGTACATTTCGGTTTGATGTTACAAAGTGATAGAAATAATAGAAGATAAGAACAATAATTGAAGAAGCTTTATTGTAGAAATGAAATAACTTTAGCTTGAATCTATTAACATGTTCCCTCTCCTATTTATACAGATTAGGAGGAAGGATTTCTCTCGACAGAATAAACAGAATAGAGATATTTCCTCATATAATTGGGGAAATCTTATCCTCTATCAAGTTGAAGAAATCTTATCTTCTATCACAAAGAGGGGATGATGAACTGCAGCAATCTATCTATATGCTCGGGGAACATGACTATTGATGATATAGTCACAATTCACATGATCTATTTATATTGCTGTAATAGAAAGATGTCACTTTGTCAGTGCCCTTAAAGACTCCCCTGGCAATTCCTTTAAAGCAAGCATCTGCGCACTTGTGTCCATGGTGAATGCTCATTACCTGCCGCCCGATACTCGATGTTGACCTGAGCGCAGTCGGCCGCACCGCAAGTGATCCGGATCGGGCAAGTGGATTCGGCATTCGAATCGGTGATGTTGCTCTTTTTTCTGCAAGATTATATGGCAAAACAGAGTTGCATCAACTCGAACGATCACAATCGAAGTCTTTTCTGCAGTATTAGAACTGCCGACGCCGCACCTGCACCGAAAAGCTTTCCAGGTAATTGTGAAGGCGACGAGGAAGGAATTCTTCGAGGAGACACGGAGCGTGCTCTCGAGGAAGGAGCAGGCGACATGGTTCGTGCTTTCCTTGTATCATCAAACGCTCGAGACATGACTATTTGAAATCGGTTCTGCTGATTAGCTAGAACATGACGTTTGTACCTGAATGAAGGTGCCTTGTCCGCCACCGTGGGATGATGAACTGTTGGAAAAGCTATATCGATCAGTACCGATCGCAGGCAATCGAGAGGGGTGGATCGAACAAAGCATTATTACCAGGTTGAAATTTGTGTGTCTCGGTGTTATCCTTGGATGCATTCAGGTTCTTCTCGTACTTTGGCGTTGCATGTCGTCCTGATTCCGGCATCGATTTACCTACTGAGCAACCAACCGAAGAAGAAGCATCAGAGACGATCACATCTGTATCGACGAACACACCAAGAGAGATTAACTTGCCCGGTACGATGTAGCGTTTATGGTACCGTGGAGCTTTGATCACCAGCGACTGTTGCGACAGCCCTTCGCGGTCCACGAGTTCTCGGCAGGCTCGAATCCTCTGAGGTTGCAGAACACGATGATATCTCGAAGACTAAATTGCTGACTCGGGCTATGAATTCGTACCTGTTCGATACAGGAGACTCGAGACTCCGCTCCGGAGACCTCGTCGACCTTGGCTTCGAGGAGACCGGTCACCTTGAACGACACCGATCCGAGATGGTCCACCGTGTTGACCACGGCCTTGATGGCGTACTCTCTCAAGGTGTTGACGACGCTGCACGCAGAATGAAGCATCGTGGGCTTTCATTTAGGTTCCGGTTCTTTCACGGTGAAGCATAACGAAGTCGATTAAGCATTGCACATACAACTGTTTGTGGTCGTCAGTGGCATACGATAATTCAAAGTACTCTGCCGCAGAGTACAATTGGGACCTCAGATTCTTCAATTCCTGGAGCGCAAGGATCAACATGAGAACCCAATTCGATATGAGAGTCTAAAAGAGAAGAGAGCAGGGCACCTTTAGGCTATCCGAGAAGAGCAGGCTTTGATCCATAGAGAGCTCATCGAAGTTGGAAGCGTCCAGCTGGTTCTGCAGCAGAGAAGCAGACGGAGATACGGTCGTCTCCATCGATGAGAGAAATGGCAGCAGCAGCAGCCTTACCTTGTCCTGCAAGCACAAGCACAAGGTCACAGTCCCATCTCTTCTCCTCTCCTTTTACGAGCTCTCATAAGAGGCGAAGAAAAGAAGAGGAAACCGGGGAGCAAGATCTTCGTGGCTCACTTTGGCCGATGCTGGGACACGCAATGATGCGCAGGGGAGACCAGAGCAAGGAGAGGACAAGGGAGGAGTGAAAGAGGCAAAAGGGAGGAACAATCCAAAGCACAACTCCCGGCGACCACAGGCGACACTTGGGCGAGATCGAGAGGGGCAATCCAAGCCCCAAAACACAGAAAGAGGCGTGTTGGATCGAGCTATTCCTTGTCCTCCCTCGGCTGCAAACCGATGCAGCTGCTGCTTCTCTTCCTCAGGCTCATCAAATAAATGTGTCGGGTTACGCCGTATCGCTTTTATTCGCGAGTGTGGTCTCTCTCGGTGAACTCACCGTCTCGGCCAATCGCGTTCTTATAGATGATCATGCTGTTATATTTCTCCGCATCGACTGCACTGATAAAGATCATTCTATGTAAATACGCACGGGTCTCCCTTGCCTTATTCCTACGGGGACGGTGACCATAAACGAGCTCGGGTAGAATTATTAGGTGAGGGGAATAGGGGGACAACAATCACGGCGAGCACGTCGGGGGCGTGAAAGATGGGGGGGAGGGAGAGACCCGGCACGTACTCGGCGGGGCCCGCCTCTTTTGGCTGGGCCTCATCATTGCCCCTGTCGTGGGACCCATCTCCCAAGTCCCGTTCGACCACCGCCCGATCGTCATCCAACGGCATCCAAGCACCGCAAAAAGGGCGAAAGACCTCCTCCAGTCACCCACCAGGCTAGGCTGTCTTCGGAGGAGTGGGACCCAAGTCAGGGTTAAATTAAGGCAACGCCCACGAAGTCGACGTGGGACCCGCTTAGAACTATCCACGTACCGGAACAAGGCTGCCTGGATTTTGGATCTCGCCATCTCGGAAGGCGATTAGGTGGACGAATGATCCCATTCTTCGTCATTTTCCATCATAAACCATTCATTTGTCCACATTACAAGGTTTGTCATAAACTATCCACATGTACCGTGACTTGCATGCATTGAAATGGATCACAACACGGATGACAGGGCATGAGTTTGTAGTACCGATAGCTGATATCAGCGTGACAGAGTTGATATAATAATGGAGTTAATCAATCCAAATTATCTCTAATTTATTTCGTGATTTTTACCCTTCACATTAGAAGAATTTTCCACGTATATTTTGATGTTCTATTTGATTATGATTTCATTTAATTCCGCTGCATATAATATTAGTATTTGTTCATATATAAAGATTATTTCGTTTTATATCCCTATCAGCTACTGTTGCACCCATCGAGCCGACGTCAAGAACCCTCTACCTCCGACGACTAGAGCAAATTGATCTTGCTGCCATCGTTTTCTGCCGCAACTGCAGCGCTTCCTCGACGAACAACACCTGTCTTCTAGCGTTACTCTCACCGGCATTTGTCTCCATCCTCACAGATCTGAGTTCTACGCCCCTTCTCAATTCTTCATCCCCCTGGGTCAAATTGCTGCAAACCAGTAATCTGCTGTGACTGCAATCTAGCGGAAGCGTGGTGGATTCTCAACCGCCGGCTCCTGCGCCTTCATCTCCCCCTACAATCCGCCCCATCCCGCTGTGGCTGCAGGCGCCACCCCACCCCGCTGCGGCTGCAAGCGCCGTCCCATCCCGCTCGAGAGAGACAGGGGCGCCGCCATCTCCACCTCTTTCACCGCCGCCTCCAAGATCTCCAAGAAGAAGAAGAAGGCGCAGACTCTCTGCCTCGACGAGTTCACCACGGGCAAGCCCGTCTCCCGCGGCGCCACTGGCCGCCTATCCTCTTCCTCCTCGAAGGGTCTCACCTCCTACGCCCGCCACCCCTTGGGTCGAGCGGCTGCGGCTGCAGGCGCCGAGTTCTGTGCTCTCTGAACTGCACCGATTGCAGTTTTCTCTCTCTCTTAACTGGAACCACTTCCACGCCACTTGCTGCCCATCGCTGCCACACAAGTGCTGCCAAACTCCTCCTTCAACGACAAAGTGCTGCTCATCACTGGAAACACGCACTTCACCGCCCAGATTCCTAAGTGCAGCACTCAATGATTCCTTACTGCAGAACTGTTGCACAAAAATCTGCAGCTTTACACTTCCACACCCCTGCATCCTGCTCATCGCTTCTACACAAAGTGCTGCTCATCACTGGAGGCACGCACTCCACCACCCAGATTCGTAAGTGCAGCACTCCTGATTCCTTTCTGCAGAACCGCTGCACTTCACCACCCAGATTCCTAAGTGCAGTACTCCTGATTTCTTCCTTACTGCAGAACTGCTGCACAGAAATCTACAGTTTTACACAATATTGCACAGGTCTTCTACTTCAACGAAGACTTCATTTGTCACCACCTCATATGACACTGATCTATACCAACATTTCTTCTTCCTTAATCATATCTTTTATATATCCTCATCATCTACATTTGATGCTCCAATTACTGTTCGCACAGAGAACCAACCCTCATCCAGTACTTTCCCACATATAGGCTTAATCTCCATAAATACAGCAACTCTCATCCCCTTCAAATTATCCGAAGGTGGCAACTACGCATCCTGGCATGCTCAATTCTCTAATATACTATTTGGCTATGATCTTCTAGTCTATGTCGAGGGCTCTCTTCGTTGTCCACCGATGCTCAACATCCCAGGCGCATCCAGTCTAGTACCAAATTCGGACCACAAACTATGGTTACACCAGGATCGTCTCATCCTTCAAGCAATTCAAACCTCGGTCGCTAGATCCCTCGCCTCACTCATTTCTTCATGTGACATTGTTGCTGAAGTTTGGTGCAAGTTGCAAACCACTCGTTCCCACACTCGCATGTTTAGTCTCCTATCAAGATAAAATAAGAGAGAAGTATTATTGCTGATTATCTACACAATATAAAGATTATCATCAATAACTTTGCCTTGATAGATCATCCTCAACGGCCTAGGAGACGAGTATAAGAAATTGACAGCAGTAATACGGGCATGTGATTCATCAGTGTCATTCGAAGAACTCTACGACAAGCTAACTAACTTTGAGATATAGCTAAAGCGCGAGGACAAACTGTCAGTGTGAGGACAAATTGCTAGGACCATCCATCACAGTTCAAGTCAATCAAAAATCTACGAGGAATGGCAATCCATATAACAAGACTGTCAATAAAGGTTTAACCAAGGCACCTTCTGAATCTATAAGCTCTAAATAAACTATCTCTCCTTCTTGTCATCAACATTCTAATCACAACAACCAAGGTGGCTACTTTAATCATCAGCAGTCCTAGCGCCCTCAATACATAAACCAACAAAGAATTGTTTGTCAACTATATGATAAAATTGATCACTCTATAAAGGTCTGTCGATCTCGACCCAGACTTCCTACTCAATCACATTGGCCTCAAGCAAATCTCACAACTACTCCAAACATTAGTGGTCATAATTAGACCGTGGACTTTGGCGTATTCCATCACATCACCTTTGATCTCCAGAACTTGTCCATCCATAACAATTATAGTGGAAATGGGGACATCATTATCGGTGATGGTAAAGGAATTCTTATTACTCATACTAGTTCTACACTGCTTAATTCACCTACCACAACTTTTACACTCGATGATGTTTTGTGTGCACCTTACATTAAACGAAATCTCATTTCTGTTTCTCGATTTTGTAAATAAAATAATACCTCTATTTAATTCTTTCATAATTTTTTTCTTGTCAAGGATTTGAGCACGGGGGCATCCTTGGTCCAAAAAATAGCCCATTGCTTATTCCTTAATTGCAGCTCCAATTGATGTGTGACATCGTTGTCTCGGTCATCCCTCTCTCTCTATCCAAAATAAATTACTTTCTCATTATTCTCTTCCTACTCTTACAAATAATAGCATTCTCACTTATTGTGATGCTTGTCTTAGTAATCAAAGTCATAGACTCCCTTTTGGCACTTCCTCCATGGGCCCTACTCCCATCACTTCTTTTGACAAGTTTAGATTTTATGTTATTTTTGTAGATTATTTTACTAAGTACACATGGATATACCCTCTTTGTCATAAATAAGAAGTTTCAACAATCTTCACCAATTTTAAAAAAGTTAGTTGAAAACTTCTTTTAGTTTACAATTAAAATAGTCTATTCTAATGATGGAGGTGAATATTAAGCCCTCACATCCTACCTCTCAACCTGTGGCATCTAACACCTTAAGTCACCCCCACACACTCCTCAACTAGTTGGTTCTGCTGAACGCAAATATCGACATATCGTATAAACTGGTCTCACACTTCTACATCAAGCCTCCATGCCAGCAACCTTTTGGTCTGCCACCTTTTAAACTACCGTCTACCTTATTAATCATTTGCTCACTCCAGTTCTTCAATACCAGTCTCTATTTGAAAAACTATTTTACAAATCCACAAACCTTCAAAAACTCAGAATATTTAGTTGTTTATGTTATCCGTGGCTACATCCCTATGCCCCACACAAGATAGCTCCAAGATTTAAACCTTGCATCTTCATAGGATATTCTCTTGAACATAATGTCTTTCGGTGCTATGAACCAAAAACTCAAAAAGTCTTTATTTCACGACATGTTGTTTTTGCTAGATGATTAAGTGGTTATACTTTATCGATTTTGACCCAAATTTTATATAAAGAATCCTTGCAACAAACTTTATAATCCTAATGGTGTCGATTTACAGTTTATCCTCTCTAAGATACTTTTCTGCTATAACCACTTAGTGAAACATAAAATTTTTCTTTCATAAAATCTATTTATGGTGATGATGATATGTTATTATTGAGCCAAGATCTGTGTTCTTGATGTTGTTGTGATCCTCTATTTATTTTAGAGAAGACTTATTATAAATCTATTATCATTATTAGTGATAGTGGAAATTTAAAATGGATTACGGTCCTATGATTTTTCACATAAAAAATCGATATCTTACTTTGTAATTGATTCATTATTCTACTGTTTATGTTGTTGTAGTTAATATTTACTTTTGATAACAAGTTGATATTTTAATGAGGAACCCATTTTGATACACGAAAAGAATTATTCTGCGATAATAGTTTTTCTCAACAAGTGGTATTAGAGCTTCAAGTTGTTTGGTACTAGTTTTTCTTATGTAATTAAAATGGAAGAGTTAGACAGTATGATTAATTAAACTCATCAAATTATTCCATTTGGATGTGTCTAATGGAAGATTTGCTCTACAAAGATTTGTATAAGCTCATCAAAATTAAAGAAAAACCTTCTACTATAAAAGATGAAGAATGAGAGGTTCAACATAGAA